TACATGAGAAAAAGTACACTAGTTCAATTGTAAATTCCAGTTGATTTAATTTTACATAAAGCCTTTGTCTGCATTTGTATGTGAAAAGGAATGTTATAATTAAAGTTGTGGCAAAAATATTAATAATATTTAGAGTACCTCAGAGGGTTTCCAATAGAAGGCATTTTATTATCTGGTGTAATAAATTAGTTTTCTTATGTTTTTCATCTCTTTTATTAGAATTATATTATTGGGCAAATGAGGGAAATTTTGTTTATCAAGAAATGCTCTCTGAAACATTGGATTCTTATTTTGTTTTCATTTTACAGAATTCTAAAACAATTGTATTTACTATATTTTATTTCTGATTAGTTTACTCAGGCCCTCCTTCAACTCTATAACAGGTCCTACTTTCTTTCGGTGCCTGTGAGTACATCAAATTTGGCTCAAGCTTCTCTTATTCTTTTTATTTTCTCTAAAGTTTGCTAAACTTAACAGCAGCAAAATCTTTATAGATTATAACTTACTGATGTAAACTACCTGTTAACCATATTTGTAGGTTTTTCAGTGTCCCATAGAGAAAGTTTATTTTGGCCAAAAAAGGCATTTAATCTTATTCTGTTTGTCTTTCTTCCTGCCATCCTGTTACTCACTTGCTTGCTCCTTCATTTATTTAGAAATTATTTGCCAGATGATTGAGACATATACCAGACATTTACTTGGGATAGATGAGCAGCCGATTCTGCTCTTGAATAGATTACAGTCTAGGGGAGGGAGATGAACACGTACTCAGGAAGGGTAAATGTGATAGTGGTACTATGGGAGCATAAAGGAAGACCACCTAACTAAGCATGTGAGGGGAAAATGGGGGAAGAATCTCTTAACATTTCACTTGATTTGAAGTGTCAAGAAAAAAGTAAACCTAGAAGTCACATAGGAAATACTAATTCACATTTTTCTTGCAATATTATTTCAATATCTATTTCTACACAATTGCTTAGGTTTTTTTAAATGACACTATTGATGGTGACATTATCTACATTCATAGATGGTATTGAAAATACCAGTCAGTAATCCTTTTTGTACTGTTATAACATTCAGTTATTTATTATTTTGCTTCTTTGCCTTGTAAACTAATGGCTTTGTTTAAAATGAATGCTTCCTTATTCTGAAAATCTAATATGTATTGTTACATGTGAATGGTGCATGTTAAAAACCAGAATGTTGCAACACCCTGGAATGTGCTGAAGAAGCTGCAATAGGCTGTCCCAAGTACAGAAAGGAGATTTTCTGTGTGTTGAATTCAGTGTATCAGGTCACTTAGCAAGAGTTGAGAAACATGAGTATTTCTATTCCTGGTTGTAGGACAAACTACCTGGGAAAATTTGATTACCATATATGGTACATCTCTTTGTCAATCACCAAATTTTCATTGTGTCCCTAATATGTACTTGTCCATGTGTAAGAATAAGAAATGACTCCCACCCTCAAGATGCTTATAAGGAGGTTAATGTACTCAAAGCTCTATAGCAGTGTAAATATTAAATTTGCTAATTGTATAACTATGTATACATAGTATACCTAAGTATAAGTGCTAACAGGTATAATCAAAAATGAGTTTACTGAGGATCTAAGTAGTCAGATATGGCATCACAGATGGCACAAGAATAGAGTCCATGCAATGCAATTTATAGCAAATGTATATATATTATAACATAACTACTGTACAAAAGAATCCAGTGTAAGTAATATGTTGATCACAACACAACAGTAATTTAAGAGTGGTAATTCCCAGTCTTTTTAAAATTCACACATTAGTAATTAAAAAATAAAATTTGAAGACCAAGTCACCAATTTTTTATTTACCAAAGAAAAATTTTTAAAAAGAAATACTGCCATCTACTTTCACTATTTTTTTATTTTTAAAATAACATTTTGTCACTAAAAAAAAGAACATAATTTCAGACTTCTAAAATTAATTCGTTTCCCTCTATGAGAAACTTAACTCCCATCATTTTTTTTTCTTATTCCTGTAGGCTAGTAAAACATCTTCACATTTTGAAATCACTGATCCAGAGCATGCTATCTGTGATGGAACTTTCATGTTAATACTTCTACATAATTACATTTTAATGAAACCTGAAATGCATTTTTATTTAATATTCACTTTTTACTGTAATGTACTATGAGAATAATATTTTAAATAATTGAAAGATTCTTTGGGCTCTTTTAGATCTTATACACTCAGATTCCATTGAAATTATTGACTCTTACCTATAATTTTTACATTTACTAGGGATTCAGGTTATATGGAAAGATAGTCAGAAGAAGGCCAGTTATACTAATTAGGATTTTGATTGAAATCAGGCAGTGAAATTAAGACTAATAAGATTGAGGAAATATTTGCATAAAGAATATGTCCTTTTAAAAATTCTTTTGGTTGTTTTTTGAAAGATTTGCCTTAAAGGGATAACTGTCCTCTGCCCTTCTTTTTTTCCCCCTCTTTGGTTCTAAAGAGACCTCATGATTCTGTACTTTGCCTTTAGCAACATGATGAGACTGATTATGCGCAGAACTAAAAATACAACCAGGAAAAAGCAAAGTTGTAGGGTTTTTTGCTAACGTGCTTAAATTCGGAAACTTTTCTTTCAACGTGTTTATAGAAACATCATATATTAAAATAAAACCTGTATAATAGACCACCAATATTCCGTTCATGTCACAAAAATTGTTTCCTTAAGCACAGAGGTTTTACAGTTTTCTAAACATGTTAATGATCTATGGTTAAAAGCTTAGAAAGAATTATTAAGATCATTTTTCATGATATTTGTTGGAACTTTGCTCACATTTTCTTTTTTCTTTAAGACAAAAATAAAAAATGCTATAACATAAAAAGGAAGAGTTCCAGAATCTTGAAAATTTATTCAACATTCCACATGATCTTATCATTTGTTTGTCAGAATAGCAAAGTATTTAAGAGTACAGACCCTGGAGCCAAACTTCCTGGATTCGAAATCCTGACTTTACTACCGCCTAGCTGGGTGACTTTGGGCAGGTTAATTACTTCTTTATGCCTTATCTAAAAATGGGGTAATAAAAATATCTATCTCAGAGTAGTTATGAGGATTAACATAATGAATGTTCAGCACTTAGAATAGTACTCGATTATAGCAAACTTTAATATTAGCTAATTGTATTATAAATTCTAGTACTATATATACTAATAAAAATTTATAATTCATTGAGTTTTTGGAAAATGCATTTGTCTTAATTTGGACAAAACCTAATATATTATTTTTCAATTATGTTCCTAAAGTTTTGCTTTTATTTTTAATGAGAAAAAATGTACTCTGCGAGGTTATTGTGAAGATTATAATTTATGTATATAAAGTACCTAGAATGGTAGTGGGTATTCATTAAATTGTTAGTATTACTACTTTATTATTATTTACATTAAGAAACTTTAAACAATGTCTTAATTTAAAAACTATATAAAGAATAAAATTCTTCCCACATTAGAGTTCTACACGTGATAATTATATTATTGATTAAACAATTTAAGGATTTACTTTTCCTATTCTCTTTGGTTATTTTGGAACCATTTTTTCTAAAATTAAGTCTTTTTGTTAACACCAATAACATTTCATCTGATTAATAGTAATGGTTTGAAGGTAACCATGTTCTTCATATCAGAAGTAAATTTTCCAGGTGATGATGATCTTAAGAAGCTATTTGCTGAAGAAAGATTTGAATAGTAATATATTATACACTGTAAAATCCATTTTCAGAAGAGAAAAAGGGTTTTAATTGAAGAGCTTTCCTGACACTAAATTAAATAATATAATTTAACATGTAATGGCCTCGGTAAATAATTGTAGAAGAATATAAATAATAATTTTGAGTCTTGAATCATTAAGAAAAATTAATGAGGAAGATTGTTTTAGATAACGAAAGAGACCTAATATTGTTTTAATTAAGACTGAATATTTAGAAAGTATTTAAAAGGCTATAACAAGTCTGTCAAATGTTCTTTAATCAGTGTAACCGATTATGATACACAATTTGGAGACATTGGTGGATCGAAAACGATATGTTTATACTTAGTTTCTGATACTTGTGATTTAATGGAATCCCAGTGATCCTTCTATTGTGGTCATGAAAAAACATTTCTGTAAAGTAATATTTGTATTGACCTTTGGCAACTATAATTAGAGATCGGTGGCAATACTGGTGTGTTTTACTTAGTATTTTTAATTTTGTTCATATTTATTGTTAGTCTTTACTTCACAGAAAAGACGTAGGCGCCTAGGCATTTCGAATATATAGAATAGTTCCATTTTCAACATGGTATTTGTTAGTGCTGGATGATTTTATTGGAAAATGTGATTGTTTTATATTCAGCCAGCCATCCAGAAAAGAATGTTCACGCAAGTGTATGCTCCCTTATTCAGAACTCTTGGAGTCAGCTGTGTTTTTAGAATTTTTCAGATTTTAGAAAAATAATAGTGTGCATGTACTCTATATTATTATATTATATAACCACTTGCGCAGGGTCTGGAGCAGAGCCCTATAATCAAGCACATAATTGTTTCTACAGCAAAAAAAAAAAAAAAAAAAGTCACTCTAAACACTATAAATAAATAGCCTCATGTCAGTTTAGGTCTACTTTTGCCATCAAAATAGTTTTGGCATCAAACTGAGTTTTCAGAGCTTTTTAGATTTTAGAATTACAGAAAGGAATCGTGGACCTTATATATATCATATACCTTGTATATTACATCTATGATAGTGTGAATTTCTGTTGCCTCTGCCATCTGGTTCTGGTCGTTTTGAATCAGTCAGTCTTGTTTTCTCATACTTTTCTGCTATCTCTGATTCACTTTTCCAAATTAACCTACGTAGATACCAGTAAGATTAATCTTAAAAGTATATTGGTTCTACACAGTTTTATACATAATTTGAATATAATGGGTCTTTATTTTTAAAAATTTTCATTTTAAATTAGGAATATATTGTTATAAGGAGAAAATTCTCTAACAGACTTTTTTTATAAACTTTAATGAGGAAGGAGCTCAGATAATGATGGTTTTAGTACTTGGTATATCTTGTACTGTCATCTTTCTTACTCTTTATTTCCCTAGGCCAGGAATTTTTTCTTTCTGGATACTCTGTATTTAAAAGAAATTGTTTCTAAAAATCCATTACCACTACATTCTTATTTTGTATATGTAATACAGCATATAAATTAGAAGAAAGAAGTCTCTTAAAACAATTTAAATTCAAGATGTTTATAAGCTAATGTATAACAGCTAGTATAGTACATATTAATTAGCTTTAGGTTTTACCAAGAAATGAGTTAACAACCCCAAAGTTCCAGCAGTTTGTGTCATTTTAATACAATGTTCACAAAATGCTAATTAATAACTTCTGACTAGGCAAATCAGATTGAGTCAGAATGACTTCAAATAAATGTGTCCTTTTTTGCCTTTTCCTTATTCTTGGGAACTTATGTTTTCAAGGGGCATCTTCTCCTTTTATCCTCCAACTCCCCATCTCTTAGACACTGCCTTTGAGTTCCATGACAAATGTTAACTAAGTAGCAGAAGAGGAGAGCTAGATTGTTTCAAAAGAAGGTTTTTATGATTTTTTATTTTTTAGATACCAGTTATTAGTAGGCAGTTGCAATTTTTTGGGTAAAATGATTTCATTTGGCATATTTTTAAAAGAAAACAGAAGTGAGACTCACCTGACTAAGATTCTAATTCTTACTTTCCTCCTGTGTGACCTGAGCAAATCACTTTACTCTGAGTTTCAGTTTGTTCTTCTAGAAAGTGAGGTTATTGGATTGGATAATCTACCAGGTCTATATTTTCTAAAACAAAAGTCAGGATATATCATCTATCTAAGACTATATGATAACTTATTAATTTACTTATATAAAAGTCTTATCTAGGTTTAAAAATAAAATCATATAGTGATTAACAAGTTAAAAGAAAAATTAAAATTATATTATCATTAGGGATTATCCTGAAAAGTCCAGGATATAGTCATCTGTAGTCCTTCCTAGTCCTAAAATTCTATATTCTATATATTTTTATCAGTTTTAAATATTGTAGACTCTAATGGAAATACCATAGATTTGGACATTTATTTGCTTAGTAAACTGTAAAATGATATGGTATGGGAGAGACAATCTTGATTAAAACATTCATTCTCAACTCCTTTAGAAGATGAAATGAGTAGATGGATTTATCAGAGTACCATTCTTACGTGTTTGATTATCTTATGGTAATGGTGTTCAGTTGGTATTCACAGACTGATAAAAGAAAACAAGTAAGTACTCAGTTTTTATTTTTCTATGTTCTGTTGGTTTTGCTTGGCCACATTTGGTCATCATTTAGAATTTTCAGTTACAACAATGTTTCCTTATACTACCAATAATATTTATTTACTTATTTACTCACTCTAGGGTCATGATCAGAGTTCAACTCTTGCTCAACACTCTGTTGAATTGACATTACCCAATCATCATCCATTTCATAGAGACTTGCTCCGATATGCCAAGCTGATGGAGTGGCTAAAGAGTACAGATTATGGAAAATATGAGGGACTAACAAAGGTATGGATTTGACATCACTGAGTATAGAGCATAATCTTTTAGAATCAAGAGGCCATGTATTCAGTTCCCCAAGTGACATTTGAAATACTATCATACATTCTTAGCAAAGCAGAAAATAATTGAATTTTTGAGTGTTCATTAACCAGGGAGAACATTTATTTTATTTACTTGGGTAAATAAGAGTTAAATTTTCAATTTCAGTATAATATAGGATTAGGCCATACTGTATATAGCCTGAAGCATCATTTACTCACTCTAGAGTCATGATCAGAGTTCAACTCTTGCTCAACACTCTCTTGAATTGTTAAATGTTATAATTATTTCCTGAGTTTCTTTATGTGCAGTATAGAAACTAGGGAGTATGAAGGTGTGTGAGTGAGGTATTTGCCCTCTGAGAATTTATGATCTGTTCTGTTAAGCAAGTGCAAAGTGCCTCTTTTTTCAGCGAGCATTTCACTATTCCAGGCACATGTGGCCTAACAAACAGGTCCCTACTTCTAAAGAACTTTAAGTCTGGGCAGAACAATTATACTTAAAACAATCAGCAAAAAATTAAGTACAAAACTGAAAATAAGTTTAAATATATGGCAGTTTAGAGAAGGGAAATCCATGTCCTGAATCCATGGGGGAAAAACTAGGGAAGATATTGGACTAGAATTGAGTTTTAAATAATGAGTGGGGTTAGATTAGATAAGTCAAAAATAAGTGGAAGGGCACGCCAGGGGTGAAGAGCAGGATGTGCAGATAAAGGTGGGAAAATAGGCCCTTTTCCCAGGACATTGAGGAGATAAGCCTGACTAAGGCAAATTTCGTATTCTAGAGCAGACAGAAATTGTGTTGAAAAAGA